CCATGTGGTCACCTCCGGGGCAGGCGGGAATCGAACTCATGCGGAATTGGTTTCAGCTTCTTAGTGCAGTGCTTTAACCCGCTGCGCCACCAGGGAGGGCCTTACCACTAAATTTATAACACCAGACCTCAAAAGCTATGGTTACCTTTCCACTTGAAAGTTTAGAAATATTAAGAGTTTTACACCATTGTGAATTCTTGGGTGCACCTCCATCTATTTGTTTGTTTGTTTGTTTCCTTAAATAACTTTAAGCATAGGACCAGGTTACTAAGTTACTATTATTCAATTCTCCTTAGTAAACCCCTTTCATGGTGCTGTCTCTTGGCTGCTTTGACCCAAACTGAATCAGCTACAGAGAGCTTCAGGACAATAACTACTGTGATACAAGACTTTAATTTTTTTTTAATTTTATTTTAATATGGGCTCCTCTCAATCATACTTATCTACTGAGGCAAAGTAATTCCCATCATTCTATAGCAGAAGCAATGTATAGAGGACTGAGTAATTGCATATTAGCTCCTGTCACTATTTTTCTCCTTACTATGGTTCATAAACTGGTCTCAAAGACAAAATAGCAAATATCTAAGGCTGAAATATTGTAGATCAGTAGAAACTTGCATGCTTACAGTATTAACACTGTCTGGATTCCAACGACCAGCTGAATATGTTCAAGATAAAGCAATAGTACATAATTCAGATTAGGGATTGGCAACAAAAAGCTAGTGCGAAAAACAAGTATGTTCCCAAGCATTACAGGCCTTTTCTAAACCAGGCCCAGCTGCATGTTTCTGATCTTTGGTTTTTACCCAAGACCTTCTTAGAGAGTCCTTTCCTGGCTATCTTATCTCAAAAAGATGTTCTATACTCACCAGTTATTATAGTACCAAGCTTATATTATAATTTATATTTGTATTTTTCTTTACTTATCATTATCTTTTCCCATTATACTGTAAGTTCCATTGGCTAGTCACAGAAGGCCTTAATAAATATTTCTTTAAGTGAACTGAGTGGCACAAAGAACTAATAGAAGGCAGAAGAGCACTGATTTCCTTCACCACCACCAACCTTCACTTACAGGTGGTCGACTTTACATGTCCTCCATTGAAATCAAAACTTTTCAGACCTGGTTCTCTTGTGCATGTTCAAGGATGCTAACCTTGCCTGAGACTGACTGTAAACAACTGTAATGATGAGGGAGAAAGACTATGTGTTTGCCTTATTTTGCACAGCATTAGGCACAGCCCCAAGCACAGATGGGTGTTTCATAAATATTATTGAAGGATGATGACACAGAGGATTATTTAATACCTCCACGTGATGTGGAGACAGGCTTCAGGCCACATATATACTTCGAATCTGCTTTATTTCTCAAATCATTTGAATGAAAATGATTTCAACACAGACTCATCTGCAATCACAAATCAGACACATGTAGAATGACAAATCCTCAAAGAATGCCATTTTCAAGGCTGAAACTCTTATTCCAAGGTAAATGAAATCCTTGTTCTAGTGATACTGTAAGTGTAGAAACTAAAGACACTGAAAGTCTTCTCTCAGGGAAAAACAATGATCTGTGAACAATAAAATCTGTCTGAATAATTCATCAATTTCAAGGGTGTAGTTCCCAAACCCATTCTAGAATTTAATGTGTCTCAACTCTCAGTTGTCATTCTGGAGCCTAGCATTTGTGGGCTTACTCATATGTTCACGAGTAATCTATATAATATGTATATTATATGTGCGTGCGTGTGATCACATATATATATATAAAGCCTAAATGGGAAACCAATAAAAGGATAACATTTTTGAAACTGCGTTTAAGAATTTAAGAAAGAAGCTTATGAGATATCGCATCATAAGAATCCACATGGGAGCTACACAACAGATCAAATACCCAAACGAATAACATCAGAGGCCCACAGAATTCTGAATCCGAACCAGCCAGCATGAATAATCCTTTTAAATGGCCACTTACATATCAGAACAGGTCCTTTGTGAAACTTCTAAGCAAAGCCTCTGGTTTCTGACTGAAACAGAGATTTACTGGGAAGAGGGCATAAAGTGACATTAAGAACTACTGGAAATTTCCACAAGAAAAGGGGACAAATGGTTTTTGTTGTCAGAACGAAACTGGCCTCTCCTGACCTGACTGACTTTGAGCTCAAGGGGCTAAGGTGATGGTGCACTGGTGAACTAGTGGTAGAAATTCTATGGGGACTACACCTGAGGTAAAATATACACAAAGAAAGAAATTAAATATATTTAAAAAGAAAGCTTGTAAAAAAATTTTGAAAAGAGTAAAAATAAAACCAAAATCATCCTAGACTCAATTATGAAAAAATAATACAGAGTCTCTCTGACCTAGAGGTAAGAAAAGATTTTACAGAGGACAAAATAATTACATAATAACCACACAAGAAAAAAATTAATGTTTTACCTAATCAAAATTCAAAATGTATGCTCATAAGAAGATATCACTCATAATATGAAAACACAAGAAACAGGAAGGGAAAAGTATTCGCCATATATATTATCTGACAAGACTTATTATCCAGAATATGTAAAGAATTTCTGCGAATCAATAACAAAAAGAGAATACATATTTTTAAATGAGCAAATACATTTTAAGCATCCATAATAAATAGTTACATAGTTGGACAACAAGCATTTGAAAGTGACTTTACTATCACTACTTACTAGGATGATGCAAATATAAACCACAGTGAAATAATAATTTACACTTTCTAAATAGCTAAAATAAAAAGGGCATATAACACCAAATACCAATGAGATTATAATACAATAAGAATTCCTTCAGCTATCTCTGGTGGTATAATGGGTTAAAGCACAGCACTACTGAAGCTATTGCAGCCACTGCTGCACGAGTTCAACCCCTGACCAGGAAGGTGATCCATATGGCATGGCAGACCTCTCCTGACTGCCCAATGCTCCCCCCAATAGTGTATTTCAGTACATCTGCCTCCTCTGCTTCCCACTCTGTCTCTGGTGACTCCTCTCACCTCCCCTGCACCTCTGGACTGTACTCCAGTTGTTGTGTGCATAAATAAATAAATCTTTAAAAAAAATTCTCTTAGGCAATGCAAATAAAAGTGTAAAACAGAAAATCACTGGGAAGTTTCTTTTAAGATTAAACATACATCTACCCTACAGCCAGCATTCTTCTCCTAGATATTTACCCAGGAGAAATGAAGATGTCTCCACAAAAATACTTACATGAAAATGCTAACAGCAGCACAATTAGAATAGGAAATAACTGAAAGCAGCCCCAATGTCTATCAACAGGAGATTAGAAAAATAAATTGTGAAATATATTCATGCAATGATGTTTTGCACAGCAACAAAAGTTAATGATCTACTAACATATGAGGTAAATGTTGATGATCCACAAATATACATTAAATAAAAACAATAAAGTATATAATATATGATTTTACTTAAGTACACTTCAAGCACAAGCAAAACTGATATATGGTAGTAGAAATTATGACACTGGTTGCCTCTGGAGGACTGAAAGGAGGCACAAGAGAAAATTTTGAGAGATAGGTTCTATATCTCAACTTATCTTTCAAAATTTATTAGATTGTACTCTTAAGATTACTCATTTCACTGTATATGAGTTTTACTTCATGAATGAATGAATAACACCAGGAGGAAATAGCCACACAAATCCAGAAGGTGGGATTCTGTAAGACAACTTCAAAAATCATTGTAATTAAGTAAGAAGAAGATTGCACTAGGTTATAAAAAACTTAAGGGAAAAAACAACCAATTGCAATATATGGTCTTGGATGGAATTATGCTTTAGGGAAAGCACCCATAAAACACATTTTGTGGACTCTCAGAAAATATGAATATAATCTTGGTTTTAGATGATATAAAAATGTATTAATACAAAGTTGGAGATTGTCAATGGAAAAGTAAAGCAAGTTACAAAGCAGTATATATTTTCAGGTCTCATTTTGTTATTATTACAAGAGACAAATGTATACCTATTACATATATTACATATATATATATATGAAGAGATCTGATAGGGAAGATACATTCATCAATAAACATAGATGATTCAGGAAGAGTAATATGTTCACAGTTCTTGTTTATCTGAGTTTTCTAATTTTCCACTAAACACATGTATTGTTCATATTAGAATAGATTTTGCTCAAAAATATCAGACTCTGTAATATACTATTTTATAAGACAAATTAAGAGGTGGTAGTGGTGGGTTAGGCAAGGGGAAAGAAAAACAACATTGTTTGAATCTCTTAAGTGCACCAACTGGGTAATTTCTATGTGTATCTCATTTTATTCTCCTAACAAACCCACAGTGTATTATTCCTATTTTTACAGAACTAATATGGGACAGGCTAGCATTTTCACATACTATCTATGCATATTTAACATACCTAACCTGCAAGCCTATGTTCTTTCCATCTCACTGATATATTTCACAGATTATATTACTCGACATGTGTGAAGTTTTTACTATACCCCAAGCACTCTGTCAAATGTTCTACATGATCCACCATGGTCATATCTCAGAATGATCCATGTAAGGGTGGCACTGTTATCAGTCTCATTTTGTATATAAGACAACTGAGGCACAGGAATAAAACACGTCTCCCAAATTCCATAATCAGTAATGACGTTCGTTTGGGTCATCTGATTCTTCATGTCCCTCCTAGAATATAAACCATATCCTAAGGTCACAGACTTTCAACAAGTTCCCATAGAGCGGGAGGAAATGAGTGAACCAACTGACAAAGGGGCTATCAACATCAGAGATTTTCCACAAAGTTTTTCATGAGACAGGTTTGCTTACCTGTCCAGGGCAGTGCTGGTAGGCATACTCCTCCCAAACCCTCGTACCCCCATCTGACGGAAATATGGAATGCAAGGGAGGTTGGCAGCAATAATGGCCAAGGAGTCGGAAGGGCTCACAAAGAAGCCATTTTGGCCTAAGATCATATAACGGTCCTGTGGGAAGGAATGAGTGAAAATGGTCAGAGGCCCCTGCGCTAGCAATTCATTCCCATTATCATCACAAGCCACTTTACTGCCATCCTCTATCTAAACAACCTACACCAATTTGAATGAGGCCAATTTGAATGAGGCCAAAGAGGGCATAGGAAACCTTTTAAATCTCTGATACTATAGGGTCCAGAATACTGAGGCAACTAGGAATGTGTTTCACCAGCTAAAGCATGTGTGACTAACTCTCAGGCTTCAGTATCCTCCACCTACATAGTTCCTGCTTTTTCCCCAAACAAGAAGGAGAGCAGGGATTGATGCCGAACTGACTGGTTCCTAAACATGGTGCTATCAACAAACCCAACCAGAAATAAAGATTCATTGCATGAAAAAAAAATCTTTTTAAAGAAACAGCCTATTTACAGCAGTGCTAAACTGGATCTAAGAATAAGGCTATTTTATCACATACTTAGCCACTAAACAGCAAGGCAGATGCAGGCAGAGCCAGCTAGGGTCTGCCCCATGCATGTCAGTCTCTGGATATGCTCAGTAATTCTTTAGTTTCCAATGTTTGGCTCATTTTATGGTAAGCAGGTTTCTAGTTTCATCACAAGATTTCTCATCACAAGCATTTTGCCACATAACAAATTGGCTGGAAGGCAACTTTGCCTTAAAAGAGAAAAGAACTAGCTAGGTAACAGTTTGGCTTCATTTCTCCATTGGCTAAATAAGAAAGTAAATCACTGTAAACTGATGAATTACATGTTCTAATTTACTAGTATGCAATCTAGCTTTACATTCTTTGATTTCACACTTGCAAATATGATCACCGCCACCACCACCACCCTACCCCCTCACCCCCCAACCCAGTGTACTATACTATGAATAAAGGAAAGCCTTAGAAAAGCAGTGCTTAGGTGTAATCCACTAAAGAAAATTCTTTGTGCAGTACTGCTATGAACCTAGACACATTTGTAAACATGTTCAAAGATTTTGTATTTCTGCAATATATTCATATTTGAATATTTTGTATTTATAATTTTGTTAATAATTTTTCATGTTTCATTATGTCCTTTTGAGTTTGCCTTTATTGCAAAATGGTCCTAGGGTCAATTAGTTATGTGGTGAAAATGTTTGCTGTGAAAATGCCCAACACGGGATAAAGAACACACTGAAAACTTCCCTACTTACTCCATCAGCATCAAATGCAGCTCCAAACCCATATTCTCCTCCTTTCATGGCTTCCAGAAGGGTCGTTGCATAAGTCAGGTTTGGGTCAGGATGCTGTCCCCCAAAGTCTTCCAGGGGAACACAGTTTATTGCAGAATTTGCTGGAGCACCCAATTCATCACACAAGACTTTTCTCACATAGGGTCCCATAACTACAAAAAAGATACACAACCATGTGAAATTTTTTTAGAACCCTCCAGGGTGTTTTTTGTTATTGTTGTTTTGTTTTGTTTTGCTTTGCTTTGTTTTGTTTTGTTTTGTTTTGTTTTCTGGTTAAAACAAGAAAGTTCACTTAATAACACAGAAGAGGGAAAAAAGCTTTTTCAAGACACAGTACAGAATAAGATTTACTCAACTCCTACTTACTCATTGAGCATCTGCTATAGCTATAGGTTTGGTTGCTGTGTTAGATATATAGAAAGTGTATTCAATAACCCACTTACATGAGCTTTTTCTCCAAAACTTTTCTCAAATGTTGCCAGAAAGAAATAAACTACTTAAAAATGATTCATTGTCTGTTGCTTTTTAAGTATTAAAAGCTTTAGTTAAACATACGCAAAAGCACTAAAAGGTTCCAGCAATATTCTTTGTCTCTGCAATCATTTTAACTCTGCCAAGTGTCTAATTAAACACTGGAAACTGCTGGAGCATATAAAACTAAGCCCATTTTACAAAATAAATCCTAAGGAAATAGTATTTTCCAGTTCACCACTCATTTATAGCATGTCTAACATGGGGTTCCAATGTTAGGGATGAAGGAGATTGTATTCAAAGCACCAAAAAAAAAAAAAAAAAACAGATCCAACATCACTGGGCTCTTAATCCAGTGATAGTATGAGTCAAACCCACATGTCAGCGATTGTCATAGTAGACTAGTCCATTCAATAGATTTTTGTGAAATAATTAGCTCCAACGGCTTAAAAAAAATAATCACCACAGGTAAATCTTCAAGAAGGAAGCAGCATTTATCAGGGAACTCATAGAGAGAATATAAATTTGACAGAGTGAGTAAGCCATCCAAATGGAAAGAACATTATGAGTATGAGGTCAGAAATTATGGTAGAACATCCAACACTTTTAGGGACTAGTCTATAATCTTGCTGACTAAAATATATGTGAAGATTTGCTTTCTGTTTTTTCATTAACACAAAACAAATCTCTTGATTTTGCCCTCAGAAGAGAAAAAAGTTTCATCCAAAGGATTAAAAATCAGAATAACACCAGATTTCTCAATTTTGCTACAAATGGTTGTAAAACAATGAAACAATGTCATAAGATTATGAAAGAAAAGAATATCAAACCTATCAAATCTTCCATTCAAAGTGGGAGAGTCTTCAAAAAACTAAAACTTTTGATCCATACAATCCAGTTATCCCACTTTTGGGTAATTACTTGAAGAACACCGAAAACCAATTTGAAGAGACAGCTACACCTCATGATCATTGCAGCCCTCAAGTCTTCCAAAGCATTCCAAACATCTGAATATATACACATCGGGCAACATGTGAATCCAACCTTCTTCAAAACCCCAGAAACCCAACATGAGAGAGGTCTTCTTAACATTTCTTTCCCACTGATTAGTAGAAGGCCATGAATTTACCTCCATGCATTGCATCAACTCGGATCTTCAGTTGACTGGGCCCTGTCAGCAAACTCTTGATGGCATTAAAGTCAAAAATGTTCCGAAGGAGGTTGAGATAGATATCCACTGGATCCACTATCTCCACTAAGGAGAGGAAAACAACAGAAAACACTAATGACCGAGGGTATTCTCAGAGTCATGAAAATGAATCACCACCATCAGAGCTTGAAATACTAATCACATTCCCATCACTATGTGGAAAGTGTTCACTCATAGACAAAATCAATCATTAAAGCACAATCAAGATGCTAAAAACTTCAATGGGTATAAATAATATCAAGTAATAAATTCTTCTTTGTAAGTGAAAAGTCAACCACAAGAATAAAGTAGTTATGATAAAACTATACACTATTATCCCTACTCCCACCTTCCTTTCAAAATTGCACACAATTAGATGCTAAGAGTCACCTTACAACACTATGGCAAGGCCCCCTATGGGGGCTGGTGTGAAACAAATCAAAAAATGAGCTCAGCTGTGACCTTTTCCAAATGTCATTGTGCCTACCAGATCCAGGTTCTGAACTGGTGCTGAAGAACATATTCCTGAATTTACATGAAAGCTCTTATATCTTCAATCTAGTACCAATTCAGGAAAATGCCAAACTTCTGGAAATTCTCACTAAACATAAATGTTCGCCAGTGTCTGGCACCATCCAATGATTTGAAATCCAAAACAAGTCTTTTCTACCTATTTGACAGATCATAAACCACCAAATACAACCTATTATTTTACAAAGTAGGAAAATAAATAATTAATGCTGAAAGTATTAATCCCAGAAGCAGTATAGGAACTTTAAGCACTACAATTTGTCCAGGAGTCCTGCATTTTTAAATTTGCAGATAAATTTTGAAAATTACATAATTTTTTTTCAATTTTTTCAAATATAAACTACTTTGAAATTGTGAATAGTGGAAGTTCATAAAAATATTACCAATCTACCTTTAAATTTTTTCAGTAAATACAAAATATAGTATCTAATTGAAGAGATTTTAACATGGTTAAGTATACATAGAAAAATAGTTTTCTCGGCCCTTAAATTACATGTAAAGTATCTATGTCCACTTAAATGTAATGCAATTATTTTTTAGGGAACACAAAGAGCTTTAAATCATCTTTTGCCATGAGGATATTAATCTATAAAATCAATTAACTAGCAATCTATATGAATTAAATGCCTAAAAATGTTTAAACATAGGCCTTGTTATATGTATACATTTACCATAAGAAAATAAATAATTTATAAAATAAAAGGTTATTGAGGAATACATTAGAAGTTTTACTCACTACAATAAAGGATATTTTTGGCAATTTCATACTGATTCTTTAATTCTTGAATCTGCTGTCTAAATATACTTGGTACTTAGAGCATTGTGTTATGTAGATTCATCATATGGTCTTTACCACAAACATTCTCACACATAACTGGTCATAAGGCAATTTTGCAGCAAAAGATAAAAAGAACTGGTTGAGTATCGGTTTCAGCTGATGTAGTGCTCCCATTTTTATATAATTAAAAACACAGCAGTAAAACTTACCGGAAGTGTGAAATAACAAAGTGTAAAGCCAGATTGCAGACTGTACTGAAAATAACACATCAGTTTGCAAATCTTTCAGTGAGCAGTCATCCCTTTCAGCCATCAAAACTAAAAATTTAACAAGTTATGGCAAAGGCAAAAAAACCAGCTAGTAATCCACAAGTATTAATTTTTAATTCTTTAAGCCATCTAGCTCGCTCTCCAATGCCACATAAATTAGAAGTTGGAGGTAAATGGAGAAGCAAAATCTTCCTATGTCCACCAAAAGTAATGGTTATATGATTCCTGAAGAGTATGTCTCTAGAACATGATGAAAATTGTTTGCCATTTGAAGGACATGAGATAGAATTTTGTTACTGGTACAGAATCTGGCTTAGATTGATCAAAGGATTTTGTCAGAGGCAACATATGGTGCCTAAGTCATCAGGACCTAAGTATAACGCCTTTCAATTCATTTCTGCTGGCCAGATAAGTGAGCAATTGATTAAAAATCTTCCCCCAAAATGTGAAATGTTGGCCCAGCACTATGATCCTTATCAATCCATTTCCAGCTTTTCTCTGTGCCTAAAGTACCAGGTGACCTAAGTCAGGTGTATTTTATCTTTTTAACTACCTTAAATTACTTGTAGAATAAGGGTGCCATCTTAGGGAAGTAAAGGGGAAAAAGATATATTTGTTTCATCATTACTCGTATGTCTTCTAGGAAAAATCAATAGTATAGAACTGGGGGTATTATACGCTTACTTTTGCCATTAATGTTACATGGTTCTCTATTAATCCATAGTACAACAGGCTGTAAGCTGAATATTTCAGAAACTATTCACGCTGATAATATCTTTACCAGTTTCATTCTGGTTCTCTGATTCTTAAACCACTTGCCTAAGTCCATTCAGCACTTAATTGAATTACTTTGTAAAATTTCCTAACATAGTGTTTGATACACAGGGGGTGATCAATAATTGTACACTGATTCAAACTAATCAAACTGCATGTTTCTGCTTAGGAAACTTCTAAAGTTTCCATATAAGTTTCCTTGCTGGATCTCTTCACTATTGAAGTCATTACAGCATAAAGACATGTTTTGTAATTCACAGCCTTCTTTGAATGCTGTAAGAGAGTCAGCTATGAAATTTTCTCCTGTGTTGCAAATGAAATATAGAGTTTGGAAAGCAGTTTTTGAAAGTTGCCAGTTCTGAGTATCTTGGCTGCTCTCATTCCCAAGAGCAAATAAAACCCATCTATTTGTTAAAAACTACTCTCTAAGGTAGAAAAATCCAATCACCCAATTCTTATGAGTATATCCCTCTAGAGGTCACCCCCAACCTTGGAGGAATTCTACTTCTAAAAAATATTTTCTGTTGGGCCCTCCCTGGTGGCACAGCAAGTTAAAGCACAGCACTAAGAAGCTAATGCCACTTCAGCATGAGTTCAATTACGGTCCCAGAGGTGACCCACACGGCGCAGCAGACCTCTCCTGACCCACCCACTGCTCCCCTCAGCAGTGTACTTCATCAGTTGGCCTGTTCTGCTCCCCCCTCTGTCTCTGGTGTATCCTCTCACTGCCCCTGCACCTCTGGCCTGTACCCCAGTGCTGTATGAATATATATATATATATATATATATATATATATATATATATTTCTGTCTATTACCTCTAAATGGTTTGAATTTGTTCTCCAGGTCAAATTCTTGTCTTCCTAGTCGAGACAGGTCAATTCGGAGATCCGGACATATGGCATATTCCTCGATGGTTTTGCTGATTTGATAAATTTTGTCAGAGACGACATCTGGTGCAGGACCTAAAATTTGAAAGTAATGTACCACCTAAAATAGTTTTCTTAAAACATGCCCAGAATTAGGTCAGAATATGTTACCTCCACTTAGTATCATTCATTTGTTCTCTGAACAATAGACAACAGGTCACAGGTCAATTAGTCTCTATATCTCTTATGCTATATTCATCCTCTATGGAGGAAATTTGGTCAGCCTCACATGTTTTATGAAGGCTAATAACCCACATGTTTATTTGTCTTAGTCTTCCTTTAAGCAATGATACGTCTTTCCCTAAAAATAGTTTCACACCTGCCAGGGAGTCCCGGTTACGTAATCAGCTTTATTCAGGATATGAGACACAAACAGGATATGTATTTGACAGAAGTGAGAGATTCCAGATTTAAATTGCAACTTCCCAAATGTACCTAGAGATAGAAAATAAGGTTTGTACTCACATATCTGCTGCCTACTAGATGTGTGTGTCTGCCAGGGTAAATTATATTCCCTAACTCACAGGCTCTTTTAAATTATATTCCCTAATTCTCAAGTCTTTAAAATGAGGTTAAAAAAAAATTAGATACATTTCCTTGCAAGGTCAGGTTCACAGTTAAGTTGAATAGAATAATGAAATAAACATGAAATCCATAGTTGTATTCGTTCAGTTTTTCTTTTTAATTTTTTTGCACTGTGATGCAAGTCTCTATATTTATGCAACAAGTTTAGGGTTTAAATAAATTCAATTGAAGGATCTAAAATACACACTACAGATAGGAAGGTAGATAGGTAGGCAGATAGACGGATAGCTTTGTGTATAAATCTACCCATCAACTAGACTGTAACTTTCTACTAAATAGAAATTATTCCTTTCTTTCTTTTATATCTCAGTCCTTAAAGCTACACTGTCCAACATACCACTAGTGGGTATTCAGGCCTTGACGTGGGACTAGTCAAATTGATTATGTTCTGTAACTGTAAAATACCCATCAAATTTGAAGAATTCATTGAAAAATGTAAAAGACTGCATTCATCATTTTATACTAACATGTTAGAATAACACGTTCAATATTTAAGTAAAATAAAATATATTATTTACTTCCTTTATTTCTTTCCCATTTTTCACCTGGGTACTAGAAAATTTTCAATCATTTATATGACTCATAATATATTTCTATTTGACAGTGCTGTTTAGAACATAATACAGTTACTGCCTCCTGACAAATGCTCACTACACATATAAAAGGAAAGAGCATCCAAACTCATCAAACCACATACATTAAAATGTGCTGGTTTTTCAAATAGCAAGTACAATAAAGCTGTTCATGAAATCAGCATAGCCCATCACAGTACACAGGAGAAAAAAGAGCTAGATTTTACCAACATTTTTTTGTCATATAGAAAACTGAAGACCATAATGAAAAAACAATTGCATGCATTTCAGTGAAAGAAAGTCAACACGATCAAAGAGAGTCCAGGATTTGTGCTGAAAAACCATGTCTGGCATGAGTAGCCAGCAAGGCAACCTTGAGCAAAAAGCAGACTCTCAAGGCTTCAACTTGTTCATCTGTAAAATGAAGGGAATATTCTAAATGATGGGTGAGGTTATTTTCCAACCATAAAATCTAGACTCCTTTCATACTAGGCAAACATCAACTATTCGATCATTTCACTGCTCTGAGGAGTGCAGGGGACCAAGAAAAGAAATGGACTCAAGATTCCAATGTGCTACCTCCCTGGTATGTCACCTTGAACACTTTGATAGGTAAGAGATTGGTCCACAGGATGTCCAGATACTGGGTTTTGTCCAGATGTTTTCTATGAGGATGTTAATGGTTACATTAACATCTGAATGAATAGACAAGTAAAGCAGTTGGCCTTCCCCAACATGGTGGGCCTGAAAGGAACAAAAGGCCGAGTAAGTGAGAATCTAATCTCTCTGCCTATCTCCAAATGAACACATTGGTTCTCAAGCAGCTTCCACAGCAGACTCACAGTTACTTCTACCGACAACTATGTTCCTTTCCAAGCAGGTAGACCATCAGCTATCTTGGGTCTCTAGCTGCCAACTACAGATCTTGGTAGGTGACATAACCACAACAGTTAACTCCTTGCATCACTTTATATCTTTCTCTGGAAAACCCTAATACAGGCACTTCGCTAGACTTATTCTAAGCTATTCCCTATCCACTTTGCTTTCTACCATTATATGATCATTGTAAAACTATATAATGTAAGAGGAGAGCAGTCATGGCAAATCATATTCTGAATAGCATACCTCCATTGGCAACATTAAACTTCACTCCAAACTCTCCCCCTGGTCCTCCAGGGCAGTGGCTGGCTGTCAGGATGATTCCACCAGCTGCCTTGATCTTTCTGATAATGCAGGAAACTGCAGGTGTCGACAAGATGCCATTCTGTCCAATAATCAGTCGTCCAATCTGGATCAGTCAGGGGGAAAAAAATCAATTCCGTTACAAGGGATTGAAGGCATTTCAACAGGAAAGTTTTCCAGGCTCGGTCAAGATAAAATAAATCACTTGGCAAAAGGAACTGAGAAAGCTTTACATTAGAGTAGGTTGGGGGCAAGCTGGGGCATAGGAGCAGGTGTAGGGCTCTGGCACTGTCTGCCCTACCCCATGTCTCCATGGCCACTTGGTGGGGGGAGCACACATTTAGCAGTTAATTAATAACCTATAAATTGGATCTGCCTCATTAGTTTGAAACACCTGCTTTTATTGACCAAGGGGTTAGCATGAACCACACAAGAAGTTCCTAGTTTGTTACTGACTCTGAAATTCACGATTTGCATGTGAATAAACTGGAAGTTACAAGAAAAAAGAACAGTGCTTCACCTCTCCCTCTGCCTCAGCACAGACTCTCACAAGGCAGCCTACTTATTATAAGCTTGCCATTGGCAGGTGTCTTTTAACTGTACTCAGAAGAACCACCCTCCCAGAGGCAGGAATTTTATTTCTGCCACTAAGTATGTGCCAGGGACACTGGAGAAAATACCCAGTCATGCTAGTCAGAGATCTGGAAGTCATCCATGGGTTTGGCCAGACTGTGTCTCCAGCTATAAAATTGACTTTTACAAAAGAAAGGACATAGCCCTGCAGAGCATGACGCTGTGTGCTTTGTTTAAAAATAGGGCCCAATGTCTTCCAGTGCCCTGGTGCTCAAATCTTGCTACCAAGTAAAATCACTTCTGAAGCTTATAAACTCCTCAGTATTCACACCGTACTAATTATAATGCTGGGGGTGGTATGCAGACATTAGTAGTTTCAGAGTCTTCACAGGTGACTCCAATGTTCACCCGAAGCTTCGTGATCAAAACCCCTGTCGCTTAAAGGGCCAGCATCACAGGCCAGCTTGCTAAAAACGCACAAGCTCAACCCCACTTAAGACCTCCTGAATAAGAATCCATGTTTTAACATGAACATCTCCCCTCCTTCCATTCCATTCAGCTAAAGCTGAAAATGGCATAGTTTTAAAGCAAGAAAACACCATTAGTTTTTGTTGTAAAAATGTCCACTGTTGCTAGACCCCTCCCACCTTCACCCCCCAAAAAATAACCTGCCAAGTAACATGTAAAACCCAAAATACAAAAGCAAGCATGAGACCATAAATGTCTACCCCGTGTGGAGTAGTTTCCGGAGCAGGGGGTGGGGGGAGTGGGGAAGGGGGAGTAGGGCGATCCCCACAGCCAGGGGGCAATGCTGCCTCTACACCTGCTGCTGTTTTTGACTTTTCACCTTTTGTCAAAAAGTAAAAATTCGATTTATTTTGGTTAGTGAAAATAGATACTGATGTATGTCTTTCGTAAAAGCAAAGTGGGGTACGGTGAACTTAAAGTCTGAGAAATGGCCACGTGGCCCACGAGGCAAGGCAGGCTCTAGCTCACCGGCACATTCACTCTGCCACCAGCCATCACAGTGCCAGAAGCAGGTCACTGACCTAATCTGACTGTGAGGAAGAGACAGAAAAATATATGAAAGAGAAAACAAGAAATCCAGAACAAAACAATCCAGAATGATGTGGCAGGGTCAGAGGTATGCAACACAGTGTCCCCAGGCTGTATTTCCAAGTGGTTATCAGCAAATATGCCCAATCTCCAAAGCTGCAGCAGTAATAATAACAACTAACTGGATACATCTTAGGAAGGGAACCAACAGGGCTCTACAATAAAGGATGAGGTATGGATTCTAAAGAAACAAAAACAGCTGAAGGAGCTTGAATTTTGTACTAACTGAAAAGGGACTATAGTGAAAGATTTTGAGCAGCTGAAGTGACTTGATATCACTGACATTTTAGATCACTGACAGAGCAGTTCAAATGATCATATTAAAGAAAATAAGTCAGCAAAGCATTCTAATGACTTTCTCCACTCCCCACCCCTACAAATCCAAGGTAAAGTCCAAGTCTTCATCATTGTCTACAATACTCTACATAATCTGACCCCTTCACTTCCCATCCATCTGCCCCAGGCCCAAGGGCTGGTTTGCAGTTTCTCAAACACACCAAGCATGATTAGGGCTTTCCCTTGCACCTTCCTCAGCCTGGAGCATTCTTAATCTGGTATTCATGTGTCTGGTCCCTCATGTCCTTTGCATTTCTGTTCCAGGGTCCACTGATCAGACAGCATGATTGACAGCCTGATGTAGTAAGTCCCCAGGGTCCTACTGTCCTCTATTTCATTTACCCTGATTTAATCTTCTGTATCACACATATTATCACTTCATATTTTCAATATTATTTCTTCACTATTGCCCTACTATATGTAAGTTCTAAGGACTTTGGCTGTTTTGTTTTTAACCACTATAGCCTGAGAATAAATGTAACATGCAGTAAGTACAAAGTAAGTAAGTGCTGGATTAATTGAGAAAATGAATCACTGCTATATGGGAAAATGCACTGGAGAGTGACAGGAGCAGAAGGAGGAAGATCAGATGGAAGATTATCACAGCATAGCTGCATGTGGCTACTGCCTTGGACTAAGTTGGAAGCAGCAGAAATGACAAAAGTGATTATGTTTGAGATAAAATTTTGGAAGGAGAATGAGCAAGTCACACAGGTGAAATAAAATATGGAAGGGAAAAGCTATGGTAACTAGCATCTACTTGCTCCCCCTTGCCTCCTGGCATTCACACCTATCTGCATTGAACAGATAGGTGGGCAGCTCTGGGTGGTAATAGAACAATGCAGAAGTGATAATGAATGACTTCCAAGGTGAGACTGATTGACACTGCTGTTCTTGCCTTGCTCTCCTGGAGTGTCAGTCTGGGGGAGACCAGTCATTACGTCCTGAAGATATCAGGAGCTTTGTGTAGGTACCATGAGGAGTGAAACTGAGGTTTTTCGCCAATAGACAGCACCAACTGTGCAGCTGTGTAAGTGAAGCATCTAGCGGTGAATCCTTCACCACAAGTCAAACCTTGACAAGACAAAGTCCCCATATATGACTGTGACCTCATTGGAGTGCCCAAACTGTGGGTAGTATCACTTGTTGTTTTAAGTCCCCAAGTTTTGTCATAATCTCTTACACAGCAAGAAATAACTAATTTAGGGATAGTAAAGTCTCAGCCTTCTACATTTAAAATATGATGGATAATGGAATCACTTAACAAGATAGAAAAGATATAGGATAATAATTACATTCATAGTATTATCCAGAGCTATGATCAGTTATGTTCCACATGTGAAATGTGTGAAAACTTATTTAGTCACTCAACATATTTTACTGGGTATCAGCATGAACAGGCCATGCAGAAGACCTGACAGATACACCAATGAATACAATTTAATTTAATGCAAGAAATAAATCTATATATTCAAAAATTCAAAAATATTTGCATTTTTTGCTAATAATTTTCTATTATCTTCCACTTTTCAGAATAATCCTTAAATCATTTTTACAGGGGGCAATGTGTAGCTATTTTCTACTGTAGTATTCATCAGGAAAAAATGTAAATCTCAATAGATGTTCAACAATAAGGAGCCTATTAAGTAAAGTATGATGTATCACATTCTTCGGTCATTTAAAGACCAAAGATTATGCAGTTGTTTCAAACCAGGTCAGCAGTCTCCCAAAAGCTGTGGTCCTGTCCCACAGTACAGAGTTAATGCTGAGGAGCAGTCCAGAGACTGCAGCCCACCCTTTCATCTAGGTGAGGCCACTGATTCATATTCTCACCAGACTATAAACTAATGTGAGAATGGAAACAGACAGAATGATTATTCTCTGGCCTAAGATGTTAAGAAGCAGATACATCTTTTTTACACTGATTATTTCCCCAGTCTCAAGACAAGTGATCAGGTGGTTTTAGAGATGCCAGAGCCACAAGAAGGAAGGAGTCAGGCTCCCTACTTCACTGGGTAGGCAAGAGCTTTTGAACACCAGCAACATCCAGAATGAACTTTAATGAGAAATAACATTCTATTGTTTTTTATGGCAATAAAAATTCCTTACATTTCAGGTTTATTTACTATGACAACTTACATTTTCTTAAGTCACAGAAACATAAGCAAATGCTTTTAAATAATACAAATTCAACAATGCACCAAAAGATCATATACAGTGACCAAGTGGGGTTTATCCCAAGGACACAAGGAAGGGTCAACATCTGAAAAACCAATCAACATATTCAGCATATCAATAAAAAGGAAGACAAAGCCCAAATGATCATAGCAATTGATGTAGAGAGAGCATTTGATAAAAATTAAACATCTATTTATGATTAAAAAAAAAAACTTCAAAAGGGGGATAGATGGACCATACCTTAACACATAAAGGCCATACATAACAAACTTATAACTAACATCACTCTCAAAGGTGAAAACTGAAAGTTCATCCACTATATTCTGTTTCAAGGAAAGAATGTCCCCTCTCACCACTACTATTCAACATAGTATTGGAAGTCGTAACTAGAGCAATTGGACAAAAGAAGGATATAAAACAAATTCAACTTGGCAAAGAAGCAGTAAAGCAATCATTATGTGCTAAGGATATGATAATATACATAGAGAACCCCAAAAGCTCCACTGAAAAACTAACTGAAACAAATCAGTTCAGCAAAGTAGCAGGATACAAAATCAATATTCAAAAATCAGCTGCCTTCCTATGTGCAAACAATTAACTAGAAGAATAACTCAACAAAACAATTTCAGCACCACCCCTCACCCCCAACCCTGGCACAGCGGGTTAAAGCACAACACTAAAGCGGGAGCTTGACCCCCTGCCAGGAAGATGACCCACATGGTGTGGCAGAGCTCCCCTGTTTTGCCTGCTGTTTCCCTCAGCAGTGAATTTCAGTCAATCTGCCTGTTCTGCTCCCCACTCTGTCTCTAGTGAGTCCTCCCATCCCCCACACCTCTGGCTTGTACCCCAGTTCTTGTATGCATAAATAAATATTTCTTAAAAAACAAAAACAAAAACGGCCCC